TCCTCTTCGACCGTGCTTATGGTCACCTCTCTTCCCCCTCCCTCAAAAAGCCTTGGTTTTCACCAATGTGCGCCTGATACTTTCCGGAATTAAGTAAGCAGGATGCATCCCTCCAGGGAAAGAGAGAGAGAGATTAGAACGATCTATCTCTGGGATTTCCATCTGTATACTCAGCTTGGTTGGGAAACTCTTAAGTACGATGACGGATTTCCGCGTGTGTCAGACACCTAGGGTTAGGGACATGGAAATTAACTAGGATTAGGATGCCTGGCCCTCAGTATAACGACTGTATTTAAGAATACTTTGTAAAGGAGAAAGAAGTCAACTGTACACTGTGGATTCGGAGGATATTGCAAGGAAAAAAAAAGGCATGAAACTTGTATTCATATTATTCCTATGAGATTTGACCCGACCTTCTAATGTACTGCGATGCTCTCTGAGACATTCACTATATAAAAGGTACTGGCTACCTGCTAGGAAAGCAACACCCTCTTATGCCCCTGGGTTAAGGGGGTATGTAACTGCAATCATATTCTGATTGCTAGCCAGGAATGCCTTCTGAAAAGTGCATGTGTGTGATCTGATCTAACCTGACCTAGGGAAGGGAAAGAGAGCATCCGAGTCCTGTAACTCAGTGGTTAGAGCACTCACCTCGTAAGTGAGAGGACCTGGGTGTGATCTGCAGCCAGGGCAAAAACCTAGGCAAGTTTCCTTACTCCACACGCCTCTGTTTGCCTCAGCAGTGAGTAAAACCTGTTTGTCGATTGGCAGATTGCTTTCCTGGGGGGGTAATAATCTCTTAAAAAAATAATTATTTGGCCACTGAATCCACGAGTGTTGGTGGGATGCCGCTGTGCGCAATTGGCCGCCGCGTTTCACCCACAAAACGCACAGTCAATTTACTTTACAGTATAGTAAAGTGAATTGACTGTGTGTTTTGTGGGCGAAACGTGTCTGTCCCATATTTTGAGGGATTAGCAAATTGCTACACAAGTGACACCGGATATAGTAGATTTCTAATTTATGGTAATCTATGAATGAAATCCAGACCAGACCACATTAGCTTTAAGAGACATATGGAAGTGCTTAAAGACAATATAAGCCTCGTGTCACCTTCAGCTCCTGAGAACACCTGCTAATTATTATTATCTCAAAACATGAGCCTATTCTGTTCCTGGTTCTACTTTACTACAACGATCTCACACTCGCTGGTCAGAAACAATAGGAACAATTTCAGACTGCCAGCCCAGTCCCACAGTCTTTATCAATGATAATAATCCTTGCTTTTGATACAGCGCCTTATCATGTCTTCGAGACGTCTCAAAGCGCTTCACAGGATACGCTGCAAAGTGTAGTCACTGTATATTTTGAGGGCGAAATACGGCAGCCAATCGCGCACAGCAGCGTCCCACAAACAGTCGTGGATTGAGTGACCAAATTCTTATTCGTTTTTTGAAGGGATTATTACCCCCCCGACTAGGAAACGACTAACAACTGGGCTCCTACACACTGCTAGGTAAACAGAGACGTGTGTAGTAAGGAAACTTACCCAAGGTTTCGCTGTGCCCGCCCTGGAATCGAACCCATGTCCACTCGCTTGCGAGCTGAGCGCTCTAACCCCTGAGCTACAAGACTCCACACCCCTCGAGATTTGAGGGGTGATATGATTACGGTCTTTAAGATTCTGAAAGGATTGGATAATGTAGACCACGACAAGCTGTTTTATCTTCTACTGAACAGCAGAACCAGAGGACACGGCCTGCGACTGAAAGTGGGGTAAATTCAGAACAAATCTGCGGAAACACTACTTTTGTGAGCGAGTGGTAAACTTATGGAACAGAACGGGCTCCTGAGCTAGACAGACGAAGGAAGCAGAAAGTGTTGCTTGTTTTTCAATGAGATAGATTTCGGTTAGGACATAATATTTGCGGATAATACAGTATACAGTTCGGGGGCACGACATGTCAAGCGACTGCCAGGATGGTGGAAGGTGAGCTGGATGGTCCTTGATCTTCTTGTGACGAGCAAATTCTAACAAAAAATACAAGCGCAGAGTAAGGAAGGCATTATAAACAATAGGAATCCTGAAAACAAAATCAGCTTCTGTGCTAAACCAGAGACAACGACAAGAAATGTTGGCGGAAAGACGTCCCAGGGCGCTGGACAGTCAGTGGGTTTTGGACCCGAGCTGGGAGCGGGGGGTCGGGAGGGGTGGAGGGCAGCAGTGGCAGCCTTCGACGTAGCTGTGGCGTTGATGCTTTTAATAAGATGGCTCTTGAAGACACGACTATGTGGGGCCGAGCAGGAGGAGCAGCCGCATTTCAAGTCTGTGCACGTGTCGCGGTAAGCAGAGCAATCACACCAGATGCGCCAAACATCATTAGAAATTTATTTTTTCAATCACGGCTGCCTAAATGACGGTAGCAGAGGCCAGGAGCTTGTGCAGCCTTTATTGGCAGCTCACAGCACAGAACGCACTGATGTTCTGTGAAAGGAGGATTCTGTGCTGTGCTCCCCTGAAGCCACGACCACTTAAGCACAGCTCTCCTGAAATCTCGACCGGCTAGACGGATATGCGATTCTGTGAAGAGAAGGGCTTGGAGGGCTCAGCAGGACCTGGAAGGGCAGACCAGTCACTGGGGGCAGGGGATCCTCCCCACTCAGCTCCCGTTAAACCTGCAAAGCCAAAGCCCTCACAGGTAGGGTGGTCCTCGCGGGAAAGCTTGCCAGTCAGCGCTCTTGACGGCAAGTTATGCGGGTTTAGCTGGTTAGACTCCAGCAGTTGCCCCAACGCACACTCTGGGCTCCCCCCGCCAAGCCTTGGCTCTCGCCCAAGGAAACTCTTAAGTAACGGTGATGGGTTTCTGCAAGTGTCGGACACCCGGCTGGCCAAAAATAAATAAAGAGAGGATTTGGAGTGACCAGACTCAAGAGGAAGAAGAAGGTTTGACCCTTGAGGTCAGCGAAAACTACCGACTGCTTTCCACTGGTGATATAACGACCCCATCACCCCATAGTTTAGGGCTAAAATCTGCAGTTCCCGAACCGAGGAGTAATAATAATAATTATTTGGTCACTCAATCCACGACCGTTTGTGGGGACGCTGCCGTGCGCAATCGGCTGCCGCATTTCGCCCACAAAATATACAGCCGATTCACTTTACGGTGTAATCCTGTGAAGCGCTTTGCCACGTCTCGAAGACGTGACAAGGCGCTGTATCAAATGCGAGGATTATTCTTGTTGTTATTATTAAGAGAGAGTAGCTAGGAGGTGTAAAATTGGCTTTTGCGCGTGGCTTTCGCACTGTAAGTTCCCTTTAAGAACCCAGAGGGTAAGCGAGCGCTTGAGAACAGTGAAGGAGAACAGCTGGAAGGCTAAAGGACCCAAAATAAATCGAAAACCTCTTGTCAGATGCATTTGAAACGGGGAGGGAAGATGGTGGCAAGGTGATACCCATGTTAACCTGCTTCCAAGCCCAGGTCCAGTTGAAGAACTTGCAATAATTCTTCATTAGTTATGCTTCTCCTGTTACACTCTCATGCTCTACCCACCCCCCCCCACACCCCACCCCCCGCCGCCGTTACAGAACCCTCCACGCTGTACGCTTACAGACGCCAAGCATGCTGCAACCAAATCCCTTTCTCAGTGGGGGGGCGGGGGGGGAAGCCTCAGGACAATTCACAAACCTGATTTAATAATCTTTGCGTTTGATACAGCGCCTTATCGCGTCCTTGCGATGTCTCAAAGCGCTTCACAGGATATACTGTAAGGTCTAGTGACTGTGCACAGCAGCGTCCCACAAACAGTTCTGGATTGCATGACCAATTTTGGTATTTTTGTAAAGGAATTATTACCCCCAGAAAAGCCATCTGCCAATCGACTAATAAACGGGTTCCTACAAACAGAGGTGTGCGTGCAGAGTAGGAAAACTTGTCCAGTGTTTCGCCCCGCCCAGGAATCAAACCCAGGTCCTCTCGCTTATTACCCCCGGAAAAGCGATCTGCTAATTGACTGACATTGTGGGACATTGCTGTGCGCAATTGGCTGCCGCGTTCGCCCACAAATATACAGTCAATTCACTTTACAGTGTGTTCTGTAAAGCGCTTTGGGACGTCCTCCCGACGTGAAAAGCGCTATATCAAATGCAAGGATTATTATTATTATTATTATTATAACTGGGTTCCAATTCACTGAGGTAAACAGAGGTGTGTGTGTGTATGGAATAAGGAAACTTGCCTATGGTTTCACCCAGGAATCAAAACTTTCATCTTGTATAGCTTAGTACTACGCTGCCCCTGTCCACTGAGCCATCTTCGCAGATGTACCTTTAAGGCAAGATAGATTAAATAGATTCTGTAAAATGGAAACCGTGTTCAAATTTCCAGGCCTTTTCAACTCAGGCCCTGTAACAGAAGTGGATGTCAGTGAGGCACGTATTAGAAAGTGTGTCAGAGAGTGAAATGCCTGGAAGCATCTGAGCTGAAGGAAAGCGTGGATTTGAAAGCGAAAATAAATTTCTAATCGGTTGGGGCCTGCGTGAAGTTGTTGTGCCATTTACACACTGCACGCAGAACATCCTGAGATGCAGTGCTCCCCATTGCAGAGTCAGACCTTCTTCTTCGACCTATGGTCACCTCCCCCACTCCCTCCCCCCGGCTTGGGGTCCTGCTCAGCCACTGTCAAGCACTCTGTGGCGCTACCCTCGGTGAGGGGTTGCTGTGTAAATGCAAGTTGTTGTTGTTGTCCATCTACCGCTGCCAGAGACTGAAGTGAGCGCCCTTGATGTTAGACGTCACAGAGAGGTTATGAAGAAGGGAAAAGCAAATAATAATAATAATAATAATAATAAACCTTGCATTTGATACAGCGCCTTAGCACATCTTCGAGACGTCTCAAAGCGCTTCGCAAGACTAAAACCGCAAATTGAATCGACGGTATATTTTTGTGGGCGAAACGGGTTCGCTGACGTACGATTTGTATTTATTTCCCCCCCCCCCCAGCAGATTGAACTGAGCGAAGGAAGAAGTAGAAGCGATCGACGGACGAATGCAGTTGCACACCATGGGTTCTGAAGGCAGCCTGCTGCTGCTGGCCGTGATACCAGTGCTGCTGATGCCAAGCGTCCTCGCCAGCTGTCCCTCGATGTGTCGATGTGACAATGGGTTTGTCTACTGCAACGACCGGGGCTTGATGTCCATTCCCCCCAAGATCCCCGAGGACTCCACGACGCTCTTCCTCCAGAACAACAGGATCAATAACATCGGGATTCCCGTGCAGCTGAAACACCTCCTGAGCATAGAGGTGATCTACCTGTATCAAAACACGTTGGATGAGTTCCCCGTCAACCTGCCCAAATCTCTGAGAGAACTTCACCTCCAGGACAACAACATCAGGGCTGTCACCAGAGATGCGCTCTCGAGGATTCCGCTGTTGGAGAAGTTGCATCTGGACGATAACTCTGTTTCCACGGTTAGCATTGAGGAAGACGCTTTTGCCGACAGTAAACACCTCCGATTGCTCTTTCTCTCCAGGAACCATCTCAGTAGCATCCCCAGCAAGCTCCCCACGACCCTGGAGGAGTTGCGGCTGGATGACAACCGCATTGCCACCATTCCCCAGTACGCCTTCAAGGGCTTGGTGAACCTGCGGCGCTTAATCCTGGATGGCAACCTGTTAGCCAACCAAAGGATAGCCGACGAGACCTTTAGCCGACTGCAGAACCTGAGCGAGCTCTCGCTGGTCAGGAACTCTTTGGTCTTCCCACCGCCGAATCTGCCCGGTTCGAACCTGCAGAAGCTCCACCTGCAAGACAACCTCATCAGCTACATCCGGCCAAATGCCTTTGCAAAAATGCGACAACTCCAACGTTTGGACATGTCCAACAATAACCTCACGTCTTTGCCCAAAGGAGTCTTTGATGACCTGGAGAGCTTAAGTCAGCTCTTCTTACGGAATAACCCCTGGCACTGTGGCTGCAGAATGATGTGGCTTAGGGACTGGATGAGAACGACTGCGTTTCATGTCAACGTGCGAGGGCTGATGTGCCAAGGGCCAGATAAAGTCCGAGGAATGGCCATCAAAGACATCAACGCAGAGATGGACGAGTGTTTCAAAATCACTTTGCAAGGCAGCGATGCGTTGGTGAAAACGACCCCAATCGTGCACACATTGTCGGCCACTCAAGGACTGCAGTTCACGTACAGACCAAGGCAGCCGAACTTCAAGCCTCCAGGTTTGGGAGCAGACAATCTGCTGCCGGGCGGGGGGTCAACCTCCAAGTCGTTGGTGATCAAAGTGGTGCCCTTGACCGCTGACAGCATCCGTATCACATGGAGAACCAAGCTACCAGTCACCTCCTACAGGCTCAGCTGGTTGAGGTTAGGCCACAGCCCCTCGGTGGGCTCCATCACTGAAACGCTGGTACAGGGAGACAGGAATGAGTACCTGCTCACAGCCCTTGAGCCCAAGTCAAGCTACATCATATGTTTGGTCACGATGGAGACCGCGAATATCTACACGCACGACGAGACTCCAGTCTGCACGAAAGCCGAGACGGGCGATCTGTACAGTCCCACCACAACGTTAAACAGGGAGCAGGAGGAATCGGACCAAGCTAGTCTTCCGCTGGCCGGTATAATAGGGGGCGCAGCAGCCTTGGTCTTCCTCATCGTCGCCCTCGCCGCCTTCTGCTGCTACGTCAACAACAACAGGAGCGTGTTTTCCCAGGACCAGGCGTACAGCAGAGGTTGCAGGAAGAAGGACGATTACGCGGAAGCAGGGACAAAGAAAGATAACTCCATTTTAGAGATCCGAGGGGGTGGCTTTCAGATGATTCCCCTCAACAATCAGCAACAGCGGCCAAAGGAGGACTACATAATACACACCATATTCCCATCGAACGGGACCCATCTTTACAAGAGCCCCCACAGTACGGCACTCAGTACTAACCGCGGTTACAGAGACGGTGGGATACCAGACGCGGAATATTCTTACACGTGATGGGAGAGATTCCCAATCCCGCCCCCCAATATCCACTGCACTGCAAACCAAACTACAGAACAAAAAAAAATGTTTAGGGATTAAAAAAACACACACAAAGTACCAGCAGACGACGATGCTGGGAACCATATTTTGTACATTTGTCACATAATTTATATTTAATACACTTAAGTGAATATTAAGGGGGAAAAAAAAACGCTGGACAATTAGAAAGAAAAAACACAGCTACCTAATTGTGAACGAGCCACATTTTTTTTCCTGCATTTTAGATAGAATTGGGACAGAGTAATGAGGCAATATAACGACCCCAAACTCCTTTAGAGTCTGACATAAAAGCATCCTTCATACTTTATTGTAACACGTCTCATGCTTGAGAAAGACTGAAGGAATATCAAAGGGTCACCTGAAGCAAACCAATTGGCTGCCGCGTTTCGCCCACAAAATATACAGTCAATTCACTTTACAGTATATTCCGTGAAGCGCTTTGAGACGTCTTGAAGACGTGATAAGGCGCTATATCAAATGCAAGGATTATTATTATTATTTTTTTTATCATTTACACCCCACAGATGTCTCCCTTTACCTTTCAGATACAATGAGGGCGAAAATATATTTTTCCAAAGAAACAAAAAGGTCCCTCTTTTCATACAGCTTTGATGATTTTCCTTCCTGTCTTTTTAGCAGATTCATTTGCCCGGTTGACGTATGCTTTCCCTTCTGTACATGATTAGAAAAACGGGGACAATTCAGATGTTTTGTTTGCTCTCTTCATTAACTGGAACAATGGAGACTTTCACAGCTATTTCTAAATCTTTGCTGAAAAGGGATCCTCGGGGTTTATTTTGCGGTGCGATTTGGGACGTGATGAGTGTCAAACATGGTGGCAGAATATCCATCGTTTGCACGGCTATTTGAATGTTTCGAAGGATATTGAGTACCAATTCACTTTACAGTATATTCTGTGAAGCTCTTCTGAGACGTCTCACTCCAAGACTGTGTGTGGGACGCTGCTGTGCGCAATTGACTGCCGCGTTTCGCCCACAAAATACACAGTCACTGTTGTTATTATCATGAGCTCTGCTATGTGCGTCACTTCACTACTTGATTTCACCCACGTGAGTCTCCCCAAGTGACAGCAACAAGCTTTTTTTTTCCGCAAAAAAACGCATATTAATTTCTACATCAAAAATAATTATTACGTGAATAATACTAATTATGCCTCAACTCCAGGTTGATATGATACAAGGTATGGGTGCTATTAAGTTATACTTTTCGCAGAAAAGCTCCGAAATAGTGTGAAATAAGTGAAGCAAAACAAAGAAGGGAATCCTCAAACATATTTTCCCCGCAATTTTGTTCCTAATTGCTTTTCCTTTCAAGGCTCCCTTCACTCCCTGGAAAGATAAGCAGATGGTTGTACTGTATGGGCAGCAAGCAGCTCAGTGGTGAGTGTTGTCGCAGGATAGACGACCCGGGTTCGATTCCCGACTGGGCAGGGCAAAACGTGGGGCAAGTTTCCTTACCCCACACATACGCCTCTGTGTGTCAAACCTGGGTGTTTGTCGATTGGCTGTTCGCTTTTCCGGGGGTAAAATAAGCCCTTCGAAAAAAAAAAATTCAATAATAACGATAATTTGGTCACTCAATCCACGACTGTTTGTGGGACACTACTGGGTGCATTTCGCCCACAAAATATACAGTCACTACACTTTACAGTATATCCTGCGAAGCGCTTTGAGACATGATAAGGCGCTGTATCAAATGCAAGGATTTTTATTATTATTACTATTGTTATGAAGCATCCCTTCCTTTTCATCATTGCTGTAAACACTGCACTTTCCAAAAGGAAATTGGAGAGAAACCAAAGATAACTGCACTTCCATTTCTTTAGTCAGAATGTCATACAATCATTTACCACAATAAGTGCTGTGGGCAATTAACAAGACTGTTATTTAGTCCCTGCCATTCACAGGGCAAGGAAAAGAACAACATCCCCTTGTCTCCTTGGTGTAAAGTAAATTAAGTTTCTATCTATCTGAATGTAATGCTCAATCTGGCCAATAACACCATGAGCCAGTCATGGCAGTGGACAGAACAAAGTTGTGTTCACGACAAAATTTCGCCCACGTTCATACCAACATTTCGCCCACAGCACATACAGTCAGTTCACAGTCTATTCTGTGAAGCTCTTTGAGACGTCTCAAAGACGTGATAAGGCACTATGACAAACCAAGGATCATTATTGTTATTATATTATTAAAATCATCAATTTCAAATCTAAAATACAACGCTATTCCGTTCCCCCCTTCGCAAAATTTCTCCTCCAATGATTAAGATGGGTGCTGTGAACTAAACATTGCGGGTTTACATTTGCGAGTAACATCCTGATGTGATAAAAATGCAAGTCTTTTTCTCTCTCTCTCTCTCTCTTTCTTTATACAAGTGTTGTCTTTCCCCCCCCGCATGAGAAAATCTGTTGAAATTTGGGAATGGAAGATAAGGAAGAAGTTAGACTGGGAGCCAAACATTGCGAGTGGCGGTGTACTTGTTTCAAGTAACTCAGGAGGGAGAGTGCTGACGTTTCAGAGATTTCACAACTTAAGCTACACTGAAGCTTGGCACTTGTGATATAAGAGGAATAATTTACTTCAGAGACACTCGATTGAGAGAAGTTTAATTGGTTTAAACAACAACTTGCATTTATATCGTGCCCTTCAAGCAAGATCGAGTGTCAGGGCTGCACAGTGGCGGGGTTAGAGGCAAGCAAGGCACAAGGGGGAGGTGACCATAGGTGCGGTCACAGAGGTAAGTCTTCAAGTGGGATTTAAAGATAAAGAGGGGGGCAAGGCGGAGGGATTGAAGCAGGTACTTCCAGAGTTTAAGAGCGTAGTGCGTAGTGGGTGAAGACATGGCCACCGATTGTGGTGCGGAGGGATCGAGGGATGAGTGAAGGGGGTATCGAGTAGGTCAGAGAGATAGAGAAGTGCTAAAACATCGTTCCTTTTTTTTTTTTTGTCTGTTCGGCATTGCGTTGTTTAGGGTTGGCTTGCTGTGTTTTTGGCCAAGATAATTCTAAAACAGAACTGAGGATATTCAGAAGTCGAAGAACCAAAGTGCATTGTGAAGCCCTTCGGCCTCTCTATGTAGGTGCCTTGAAATTTCAATGTTGAGTGTGTGTTCCAACTGTAAAATGTTGACTTTCTTTCTCGTCCATACAGAATGTGACAATTTCCTTGTTCTCTTCAAAATAAAGATAAAACTGTTTGCTGGTTGGTCATTCTTACACGGGAGTTATTTAGGAAACGGCTTGATGCTGCAAAGTGAAGACAGTTGGGTGGGTATTCTAGATGGATGACCTCATAAATAACAATAAATAAATAAATTTGGTCACTCAATCCACGACTGTTTGTGGGACACTGCTGTGCGCAATTGGCTGCCGAGTTTCGCCCACAGAATACACAGGCACAACATCCTACAGTACATCCAGTAAAGCGCTTTGAAACATCTCAACGGCCTAATAGGGCGCTATATCAAATACAACGATTATTATTATTATGATGAGCTTCATTTCACTACTTGGTTTCACCCAAGTGAGTCTTCCCAGTTGACAACAAGAAGCTTTTTTCCACAATAAAACGCGGCTGAAAGGACTTCTTGTTGCTCAGGACCCATCTTGAAGGCTGGAGTGTGGAACTCACTTGCCATAGAGGTCAGTCATATGAAATATTACTAGAAGGTAGGAAACAGGTGAATATTCCTTTATTTATAATCTCTCAAATGATTCTTTTCCCAGAGCAGAGAGTACTCTAAGAGCAAAGCCTAACCCAGAGCTTGATTCTCAGAACAAGCCCCAGTCATCGCTTTAAATGAGAATGCAGAGATTTGGCTTTTCTTCTTCTATTATTGTGAGTGAATCAGAGATTCCTGCTTCTGTTCAATTAGATTCACGCTCCAGCGCATTTAGATTAGCAGCTTCTTTACATTTAGATAAAAGGCTGCACCTCGTTCTATCGGGGAAAGGGGAGTGGGGGATGGGGGGAGTAATGAAGCGAGGCAAATCAGAGATATTAAATTTCAGGCACAATGCCTCACAAAAAAAAGAGCATTTAATGATTCATCTGAAGAACAAGGCTTGCTGTGTGATTATTTGCATACCCTCATCCTGTGGAGTCCTGTAGCTCAGTCCTAAGAGAACTCGCCTCGCAAGCGAGAGACCTGGGTTTGATTCCCGGCGGGGCGAAACGTTGGGCAAGTTTACTTACTTACTCCACATGCCTCTGTTTACCTAGCAGTCAACATGAACCCGGTTGTTAGTCGATGGCCTCAGCCTCTCAGCCCCTAGGCTCTGGAACTCCATCCCCCAGTGCCTTCGACTTGCTTCCTCCCTTTCCTCCTTCAAGGACTTTCTCTTTGACTGTGCCTTCAGCTCCCCTCTCGACTCTCTACCCCCCTCCTCGCTCCCTCCCTTCCCTCCCCTCACCCTGACCATTTCCCCCCAATGCTCGGGTCCCGACCCAACTGTTCAGCGCCTTGGGACGTCCTCCCGAAGTGAAAGGCGCTCTATAAATGGAATCTTGTTGTTGTTGTTGTTGATTGGCGGATCGCTTTTCCTGGGATAATAATTCCTTCCAAAAAAAATGGGTCACTCACTCTACGGCTGTTTGTGCAACGCTGCAGTGCGTAAATTGGCGGCCGCCTTTTGTGCACAAAAACATAAAGTCAGTTCACTTTACGGTATATTCTGCGAAGTGCTTTGAGACGTCTCGAAGACGTGATAAGGCGCGATATCAAACGCGAGGATTATTATTATTATTATTTACAAAAATTGGTACGTGCAGACGAGCTGCGGGGTTCATGATCAAATGTGATTTCAAAATGTAATATCTGGTTAAGACTCCAGCAGTTAACCCCGACGGACACTCTGGGCTCCCCCCCAAGCCTTGGCTCTTGCCAACCTGTGCCTAATACTCTCTGGAATTAGGTAAACAGGACGCGTCCCTCCAGGGAGAGAGAGAGAGAGAGAGAGAGAGAGAGAGAGACGCATTCCATTCCGACAATTTATCTCTGGGATTTTCATGGGTAGTTGGAATGCAGGGAATTCTCAGCACCTGGTTGGCTTTTTTGCTGCCAAACAGGTAACGTGACAGGAGTGGGACCGAATTCTACCCGAGAGTGAAGCATCTCTCGGACAACAACAACAACAAGATTACATTTGTACACGTCGGGAAGACTTTCCCAAGGCGCTGGAACGTCTGAGAACATTTCTAACATCTCTAACCACTATGCTGCAAGACTGACAATGTCTGAGAACACAGAGCAAATAAGATAAGGGCTCTTATTAGCAGAGGACTGTGGATTATGTTCGGCCTCATTCAGTGTGGCACAGAAGTGCAACTTAAAGAGGGGAGAGATGAAAAGCTGCACTTTTA